CCATGACCCGCTCCTTAAGCAGCGGTTCCCCAAGCAGCGCGCTCAATTTCGAGTTCTCCACGTTCGGGATGATTACGTTCTGCTCTACGGTCAGCCGGAGCTCGCCGGAGCCGTACGCGTCCGCGATTCTTGCCAGGTCGAACATGTCCTCTGCCTGGACGCGGCCTACAGGCACGTGTAGGCCGACGAAGGACAACCCCGGCTGCTTCTGCGGGTGTACGCCGAGGTAATCCCTTCGCTCCCATTGCCTCATCACCAGCTCCTCCGGCGACGCTCTCTCCAACTCCCCCATCGGCATTCTCTTCTCGACCTCCGAGCGGAATGTCTCTATACCCTGTCCAACGTGAGTTATTAGTCAGCTCTCATGCGCGAAACCTGCTTGACGAAATGCCAAGCACAAAAATGCATGTCTTACGAGTTCGTCGATGAGCCACATCATGCGGGTTTTCTGCCGGTTACCGCGGGAGCCCAGATCACGATAGGACTCGAGAACGGCCTTGCAGAGTGGAACGACATCGTCGGCGGGGATCCAGGCGTCAAGGGGGACAGCCTCTGCGCAGCGCTTGGGGCTAAAGAAACCGCCAACAAGAAGATTGAAGCCGACGCTTCCGTTCTTTTCCGCCGGAATGTAGGCGAGGTCGTTGATGTGTGGATGTTCGTACAGATCATGGGAACCCACTACGCAGACGTTCCATTTCCTTGGCCTGCAGCAACCAAATTAACCCAACAGCTATTCGATGGGGAAACAGAGATTGGCGGTAGGGGGAATGGGAGAGAAGTTTACAGATTAGTGAGGGAAAGATTGCCCTTGGAATTGGAGGTGACGAAGGAGGAGAGGAGGGAAGTGTAGGGGCGAGTGTCGAGGATCTCGAAGGGGTCGATGCCGGCGGGGGGATTGCCGACGGGGTTGCGAACGTTGTCCATGCCGCTCTGAAGGCTGGTGAGGCCGACGGCAGTTAGGCCGTTGAGGACGGAGGGGACGTCGGGAAGCTGAACGCCGCGGATCTGCCAGTTTTGGCGGGTGGTCACGTCGGCGCAGCCCTCCCCCCCGTACCGCTCGATCACGCTAGCTAGGCATCGGGCGTGGCACCCTGGCGTTAAGCCGGG